GATGCTGCTGATTAGATGTTTGTAATAAGGAAAATCATGGCCACGGTGATGCAAAAATCTCCAGCCACAAAATGATATAGAAACTTTTGCTTTGTTCACCAACATACTCCCGAAGAGGTTAACTGAATGGGACACAAATCTAGGCAGGATAAACTGAAAAATGTGTTCTAAGTCTGGCTGAAACGCAGAAAAGAAGCAATACCTCTTTTCTCCAATGGGGTAACTGGGTCAAAATGTTGTGCCTAACAAGGCATCTTCTCTAATACTTTACTAAAACTTCAGAGGGTCATTAAGCTGGGTCTTTGAGGAAAACACAATCCATGCTGTGGGGCAGGAATACGGGAAAGGGCAAGAGCTGCTGAAGTAGAAACCAGACTCTACTTCAACAAACCAGAATGTACTTCAGCCTTCCTGTGGATTTTTTTTTTTCCTCCTCCAGGTATGAAAAGAGCAAGAAACAGTGAGTTAAAAGAGATTAGTGCATAGTCTGCATTTCAGACCATATGGCTTGTTTTGTCCCCTGCAAGGCTACATGGCAGTTTGGTGAACTTGGGGCCACAGGAGACTCGGGGTAAAGACCAGCATAAAGGAGACTAGAGCTGGATATTTTTAAAAGCTATTGGAAACCAAAACTAATGGCTTTATATTTGCTAATAGCCCTGCATTGGCTTTTTCTAGTCCCAACACCTACTATATACATAACACAACACATGGGAATTTTAAGAGAAATAAACATCTGATTTTCAGCTTCAGGAAACTTCAGCACTTGAAGAACTTATGAACAAATGACATCCCCACTTTTTTTATGAATTCCAGTTGCAAAAAAAGCTCTCCCTCAACTCAATGACTAACCCTGCAAGCACAGGAATAAACATGATCAATTGCGTGAGCAATGCGAAACACAAAAGCACTAGATATTTGACTTGTGACCTTAAAACAGCCCCAAACTACAGGGAAATGTACTCCCACTGGCAGCCAAATGACCTGGTGACAGCTCCTGTGCCACAGGAGATCCTGTCCCTTCCCACAGGTCGTTCTGACTGGAAGTCGGATTCTGAACCATGACCCTACGGGTGAAATGTCGGAGACATCCTGCTGGGCCAAATGCTTCCCATCTAGCCTGGATTTTGCCCTTTTTCTTCCCTCAGGAAGCTGTACTGCATGTCGTGGACAAGGCGTAACCCTCTATTTGTAAAGTGAGGCTTAAAGATTTGCTGAGACATTACAGTTACAGCTCTGGAACTAAAAGTCCGTAACTTAAGTTCCAGGTGCAGAGTCATTTGCAAAGCATGGTATCGTCATCACAATAAGTTATACCTTTAAGACATGCACTGAAATAATGTACGGTGTTATTTGAGAAATCTACTGCAGGAAGAAAGAAAGAGCAGAAAATGTAATTATAACGGGAAAAATTATGTTAAGGCATTGGCTGAGCTAAGATCAAGCTACACGTTAAATATGACTACGCTCTTTCTGTCACATATGGTATTTTGGCCAAATTGAGGAAATTTGAAAAAAATGCCAGCTGCTCTATCTATCTTTTTATATTCTAATGCCTCCAATTATCCACTAATATTGTTTAATGTATTTTTACTGGTGAGCTAGGTTTCAAATTAGAAAACCTCAAATTACTAATTTCTTAATCTCCAAACTAAAAAGGACTAGTGTTTTAACCTGCAAATATCTTTATTTTCTCTAATAAGAGTAACTGCTCAGGGTCTCTGAAGAGCAGGTCATTTATTTAGGCAGCCATATATGAAATTAGGAACATCATTTTAGGTACATGCATTTGAAAATATGGCATTCATAGATTAATATCTTTATCTTAAAAAAATAAAATAAAAAAGCCTTTTTTTAAAAAATGAAATGTCCCAGCGTGGTGATTCTACACGTGCACGCTGAATTTGTTCCAACCGAGTACCAGTTCTTAGGAAACTGAAACTATCCTGGGTCAAAATATTGGAAAATCTATTACTATAAGAAGAAGAATTTTCCTGCAGTGGCCAAGCAAAGCTAAAAGATATATACTGTCTTTTAATGATTTGATCCTGTGATTGCCAAAGTGTGTATGTATTTATATAGTCTGTAGTCTTCAAACAATGGAAAAAATACACACACACACACACACACACACACATAAAAACTAACAAAACTACCCCCATGGAGAACATGTGCTCCAACTTCTACCTTATCAGAGCTAGATCACAGAAACACTGCTATGGCTTTAGGGACAATATGTGGTAAGCAGCTATTTGCCTACTGTTAGCATTCATAATGTAGACAATCTGTCGGCAGATTTCTTCTTCAAGTTTTCTTCTAAATTTGCCTGAAAGGTTAATCTAGCTTTTTAGCAAAGCTTTACTTTTCTCATACAAACAGATGTCAGACTGTTTACACAGAGCCAGCCCAGTAAACATCACTGTGGAAGGCTGCTAATGTGCAAAGAAGTATGCTGTGTGCTTGTTAGAGATCCAAATGCCGCCACACATATGCACGTATCCCCTTGCTTTCTCTAGGTTATATCCTTGGCTCTTTGCTCAGGAAAGCCAGGCAATCCTGCAGAATTACTGCTTCTGGATTACTGGTATTGTGGCCCAAAACAGGGAGCGGGATCCCAGTTCACTCCCACAGTGAACCTGCTGGAAATATGAATGGTGGCAGAAGGTAATAGCCTTAACTTAGGCTATATTAGATAGCCTAAGGATAGGATTATTATAGGCTGCCTTAACTTTGTTCAAGAGCCAGTTTGACCTGCAGTCTGATCTATAACCAAATGAGAGAGAAAGACATCTTGAACTTGGCTTCCTGACCTTCACAGGTATAACTGAAGCTATAATTTTATAAGAAAATCAACCGATTATTTTTTTTCCTGAATTCAGATAGACAAAACTCAGAACAGGTTTTCAAATTTGGAAAGTGCTGCTTATTGTGATTCTTAAATATGCATTTTTCACAGGGAATTGGCTGCATTAGGTAGAGTTTGTAGCTTTCTTTGAGAAATCTGGGCCCACACCATAATTACAAAAATAATATGTTACAATGATTGAGACCCCTTTAAACTTGGTATAAACTTCCTGTTCAGAAAGAAAAAAAAAAAAAAAGAAGAGGAAAAAAAAAGACAAATTTAAGTATCTACTTAAATATATTTGAAAATGAGACTCAAACTCATGGTTGGAATTAAGCATATGCTTAACTTGTTTTCCTGAGTGAAGATGGGTATAATCAAATATCTAAGTGCATTTCTGAAGTGTTGCCTTAGGGAAGTGGAGTACACAGTCTTCTGTACAGGACAGTTAAAGGTAAATCAATTAAAGCACAAAGCATGAACGTTCATAGGTCTTTAAACAGTGATAGCTAGGTTTTGAGTTCAACCACCTGTGGCTATGAGCATGCTGGGCCTGCTGATCAGAAGACCACAGTTTTTTTTTCCAAGTATGGACTATAACAGAAGTTCAAGATAGCTTTTCAAACCAGTAACCCCTTTCCTTTGGTATTAAGCCCACGTTATGGGAAACACTGTCTCTATAAATTAATGATATGTTCTTTCTCGGCAGAGGAAGCAATCTTCACCAACCCAAAGCACAAGTAAGAGAAGGAGAGTAAATTAAAAGTACAACAGTGTCCAATCAATATACAGTCTAGCATTTTTTGTCTCATCTGGTGGAAAATCCAAGGCACCTTGAGGCCTCCTCACTCTGGCTTCCTGGGCCAACAGATAATTGGGGTAGCAACTCTGAGGCGGCCTCCTTCTTGGAGACTTGCCTTCGTGATACAAGCAGTGCTTCGAGATTACTGCAGTGAGTTTCATCTCACCAAATTAGGCTGTTCTCACAGGTACCTGCGCTGGCCTAGGTCTCCCTGACTTTTAAAGACAACAAGCCCATGTTCGCACTGAGAAGGTCTCACAGGATGAATTATCATTGAGGGTGGAAGGCCAGGATCAAAACAATGTTGGGCATTTGACAGTTCTTGTCATTCAAACTAAATTTTATCTAGGCTGACCATGTAACAAAAAAGCGTATCTAATACCTGGGACCAGCTCGTGTGAAAGGGCGGTTCTTTTCCCTTCTCCTTCCCTGTTGCCGTGGTTGCAATCACAGCAGGACTTGGCCTCAGAGACAAAATCATTCATGCAAGAGAAAGGCCATGAAGACTCCTGAGGTTTGAAACTCGTTCAAACACAGTCCAAATCAGCCCCAGTCCATTGACCGTTTGGGCACGTGCTAGGGCCCCCTTTATTTTGTGTCTAGCTCAGAGAGGAATCTGCAGGAAACTGTGAAGGATGTAAGCGAGGAGCTGGAGTCTTCTCAAGGGCTGCTCCACCAGTAAGCACCGCTCACCTGATCCTGCAGGAATTAGGGACCATCACAGATCTCACAGCTTTCTACTCCAGATGCAAGGTGTGATTCTTTAACCTGACTTCTCTTCATCGGTGCAGAGCAGCGTTTAAATAAAATCCTCAGACTCCACCAAACAAAACAAAGCAAATAAAAGCTTTTCACTGCACAGACCGTTCCTTCCCCAGGGAGAGACGGAGAGAAGCAGTGAGCCGTACGTGGCAGTTCTTAGCTGCATTGCTTAACATGATCAAAGGGAAGGCAATCAGATACTAAGGTGAATAGCAGTTGGATTAAAAAGAATGTTTTGAATACATTTTTGCTCATAGAAGTAGTAGTTGTGCTAATTTCTGAGAAAAAAAAGGAATTTTTTAGTATTCTGATTTTTTACCACTGTTTAAAGCCTAATTTCTCTTTTTCTTTTTCTTTTTTTAAATAGTTTAAGCATATAAGTCAAAGTAAATAAATAAAACTGCTGATGATCCAGTTCAAATGGCTTTTCTCTTCCCAACTGCATGCTCCAAATGGTGATACCAGAATGCTATGCGATATCGAAGGTAAGGCAAAGAAAAGTAAAACATCTACTAATCCCAGTAACTCCTGCCTCTCAATGTTCGGCTGAATTCTCTGTAGAGGAAACTTGCCTTGATGACTATAACTTACCTCTTCTCGATGTTCTTCTCCAGAGCGTTGAATATACCACCTAATAGATGCTTGCTGGGACTTAGGAATACATTCCAGAAAAGTTGAATTAAATTCAATGCCAAAAATCACCTTTTCATCAGCAGTTTCATGACTAATGCCTGGAAAGCAAACATGGTACAGGAGATTAACCCTGACCTGATTTTTAAAGCAATGGGAAAATAGCCTGATTCAGAACAGATGCTATAAGAGTGAGTGAAGTATAAAAAAGCAAAAGAAAACTTAACTTTTAGCTTAAAACATAACTATGAGGATTTAGAGGGGGCTGCTAACCTTCCTTCAGTGCAATTGGTTTTTAAGGAGGCCAATAAAATCTATATCATGTGCTTGCTCCATTTTAACGTTGAGGCTTTCGCCTTTGAAGAATTTAAAACCTGCTCTGTATTTTTCTGTAAGTAATGCTACTACTGAACCTGATAGAGGTGGAGCAGTGACTGAAGGTAGGCTGTAGTCACTAGGGTCTGCTTTGTTCCTCCTGGACACTGAGAAGGAGTTGCAGGACTATTTCAGTTTACCTGCCTTAAGTGTAATTTGGAGTGCCTTGTAGCTTGCTCCAGACAAAACTCTGAACTTGAAATGAGCAGATCTGGGTCCCCTTTGTGGCCTTCTGCAAAACCTAAGCCTGCCATTTCTAATCTCCGCTTTCCATTTCCCTTTCTATTCTGTCTTATCTGTGTCTTATCTCTCTGATCGTTAGGCACAAGCTGTTTCTTACATTCTGCCAATAACAGAGAGCGGCTTCTCCTCAGTCAAAAGTCAGCTCAACAACAAAACGGATACAATTGTGGTTTTTCAATATAATAAGTACATATAGGAGATCTACAGAAATTTCATCTCTCTGCATTAAATGCTTTTCTTTTATTTCACTATGCCACAGAGATTTCAGTAGAGCCAAGCAACTTCATACAGCCAATACAGTTTGCAGGTAGAGAACCTTGTGCGGTGGAGCACTGAACTTAAGTAGGCTTTGGGGCCGTAATACTATTATTTATCACAAATAACATAAATTAGACAAGAGCTTGGAGTGGTGCAGGCCAATTTCATGGCTTTATGGCACATAGAGGTCATCCCCAGCAAGATAAAATTTCTGTTGGTGGTATTAGAGCAAGGCCAAAGATTTGTTTTAATTTGTGTGCTAAGTAATTTTACATTTGTCCGGTAAAACCAGTTCTTTCACTATCTTTTTATCCTTCTAGGAAAATGTGACATTGACAGCCTTTCTACTAGTTTTGCTGTAGCTATGAGCTTTGTGCAGTCTCAGATACCACTATTTGGAGACTGACAGTAAACAATAAATGGGGAAATTCTGGCCCTTTGGGAGTCAAGAGGAGTTTTGCCATTGACTTTAATAGAAATGACAGTTTTCCATGACTTTTTAACTGCGTCTGCATGCACACATGTACAGTCAGAGTCCTGTATACTGTGCAGCAGACTCGGGCTTTGATCCTGTGGCAAGCAGCTCTGATTTCTGCAGTGACTCACACTGAGATCTGCGGCAGGCATCCAGCGCCGCCACGGCATGAAAATAAGCAGAGATCAATCAAAAGTGGTGGCTTTGCTTGAATCAAACGTTAAACTCAGCGATATAATCAATACTGTTTTGACTGGGTTGTTCACTTTGGTAAGTGAATATAAGAACCCCAGACAAACCCAAACGCGGTTTTGAATGCTTTCCATTTATTTTATGCTGCCACAGAGATTGCTGTGTAACCGCAGGATTTCATACCGACAGTGCATGCTGTAAGCGAACGGCTGCAGTTGCCAACGGAGCAAGCCAGACGCTTTGGCATCCAAAAAGAGGGTGTGGGAAAGGGAAGAGGGAGCTGACAGGAGGGGGGTCTAGGCTCTTGTTAATAACAGGAGTATTTAAGTAGCTGTGGGGAGGGGGAGCTACCCAGTTTGGCAGCTGGAGCTGGGCCTTGGGGTTTTTTTGTCAAGCATACACAGCGGCAGGGAAAAGGATGGAGTAGTCCCTGTTTGCCCATACGCGTTTCCTCCCGGGATTATCTGCTCTGCTTCTCAACGAGTGGAGGTCCTGGTATCTGCTTGTGGTGAGGTGTAAGGGTTTTTCATCGCAGGCGTTGTTTTGGTCCTTTGGGTTGGTTAGTGCTGGGGAGCTTCACGCAAGGCAGGTGAGGGGTGCTGTACCCCTTCTCCGTTACTGGCCATGCGTCAGCAAAGGTCACCCACCGCAGCATGAGAAACATCTAGGCGGTGCAGCGACTGCAACTGCTTTAACGGTGTCATTCCCTCCAGCTCAGCAGGGCTGCACAGACAGACAGGGACCCTTACAGCAAACTGCTATGGAAGCGACAAAAGGAAAAGAAAGGTGCAAAACACTCACTGTCTTCCACATCCCAGCACTGTGCAACGGGGTCTCCATATTTGACATCTTGCCTCCTGGCACGCCTATGGGAAGAGCATGAAAACTTGTAACACTTCAGACATAATTGCTGGAATTCAACAACAAAATTCAGAGGAGCTCAGCAGATGTGGACTCGCATTGCTCCCACCCTACTGCTGACAATTACAGTCTTAACTAAAACCAGCCTCACCCTCAAAGCAGCATGTGGCCTAGAGAGATTTGTACAATTGACATCAAGACAAAGGCTTGTGATTTGGGAAAACCACTGGGAAGGGAAAGACAGAAGAGGAGAGAGAAAAAGTCTGCCTAGAATAAAAGATGTGCAATGTGATGAGAGAGTGTTTAAACCTGCTCTAGGAGCACTGTCAGTTCTGGGAACAGATCTTCTGATGGGATCGACTGTCTTGGGAATATTCAGAAACATCCTTAATGCTGTGTGTCATGGAAAAGCGCTCAGGTTCAATGGGTGATATTCAAAGTTGAGCTCAGGATCTACCTAAGACAACTAGTAAATCAACCATTAAAATGAAGAGGGAAAAGCTTACTTTTTACTTTGATTTAAAAATAAATCTGATATTCTTTCCTTATGAGGAAATGAATGGAGTAAGAGCCTGAGAGTCAACAGCCTTAGATTCTCTACCCAGTTCCACAATTAATTTACTTGGTAATCTCTGGATGTATCACTTAAACGCGCTGTGATTTAGCGTTGTTTCTTTGTAATAGAACTAAAAAAAAACCCTCTTCCTCTGTCAATGACTACATTTATCTCCCAAGAGCTAGAAACAGAAGTACATATTTTAATTTTTCAGTAAAAGTTGAGACACAGGAAGGAACTCACTTTCTCACAGTTACACTGAGAGTAAAGGGAGCAGGGCCTTATAAATGCAAAGCACTGCCTCA